GCTGTGAGACAGGCCATTAGTTGGTATGCGGATGGGTCGGATGAATGTGCCTTTGCTGCTGCTTTCAGTGCCGATAATGTCAGCGTAGCGGGTCATGTGTTTCTTGGCTTCTCTGGGTAACTGAGATATTGGTAAGATGCAAGTGAAGCATCCAGAGTCTAGCATTGTGATGCCAGAGAAGGTGATGTCCCTGAAGTTGAATGTGAACTGGACGAGTGAATGGTGAGCGAGTCCTTGAAAGTTGAAGGTGTGATGGCTGACGTAGGGGCACGGCGAACGAGGCATCACATCTTGTCCTGCCCGAAGCGAAAATCCTGTTCCACATCATTTATGGCTTGTATACTATCATTCGTTGTGGCAATATGGGCCTGTGCCCGAGTGCGAGGTGGGTGGCGATATAGGCAGTTGCATCCATGGAGGCAGGGGCGACCTCTGAGGTAGTTCTTGCACACGCTGATTCGTGGTGTGTGCTGATGGTTTCTGCGTGTCGGATGATGGCCATGTTCGGGAGGGTTGGTGAGGCCCGTCTGCTGTGGGTTTGGTTGCTTGTTGGGTTGGAGTGGCGCGTTTCTTTGGTTTGACTGCTGCGGTTTCTGCGTGAAATACGCAGTGTTGTGCGAAGTCGTGTCATTGGATTTTTCACTGCGATCAAGGTATCTTTGAGCTTCGGGGGCTATGCCAATGGCTGAATAGTGGTTGTCCATTATCTTGACAAGATGTGGGTAAGGATTTGAGTTCCAAATTTTCATCTTTTCACTCATTAGCATAGTGCCGATGATGGAAATAAGTCCATCGACTGTTAAGTCTGTATTTTTGTCTTTTTTGTATTTGTTTTTTTATGTGGACGGCTGCCTCTCTAAGGGTGCTTTCGAGTCGACCCGCGAAGTCTGTTAATTTTTCGCCATCTCGCCATTCCAGATTCCAGGCTTGACTGAGGTGTTGGAAGTTAGCCATCTGGATTCCGTGGGCTGCTAATAAGTATTCCTTCAGTTGTTCGAAGGTGGATATGTCTTTTTCTGAGTCAACCATCTGCTGAAAGATACTTTGGCCCAGTAAATCTTTAGCAGACTTGACGAATTCGCATTCCAGAGTGGGATAGGTGCTGAGTTTCTGGCGTGACGTGTATTGTGTATGCTTTGTTTAGAGCCGTGATGAATCGGTTCACGTCGTGTCCAGGGTGAAAAGTTCTCTCTAGCTTCAATATGTCGCGTATAGTTTGTTGGCGCATCATTAAGCTGTAATCGCCATTTGTTTGAGCGGTGGGAGGTGTTAAAGTAGTTGATTTTAGGGCAGGCAGCATGTCGTTTATGTCGGCTTGAATTTCTTGTATCGTGGCTTTGGAAGGCTGTGTTGGTCCCATTTTCAAGTTGAATAGTAGTGTTTTCTGTTCATTGATGAGAGTAAATAATTCAGCTCAGGTGAAGCTCGTGTAGTTGGCCATATTTCTCTTGCTGTACGCTTCTGACACCAGTGTTATAGACAAGCGCATGGTTGCAAGAAGGAACTACGACAACAGCAGAAATAGATTTACGTGATTTATTTCAATAGGGACGTGTGGGTTTGGGACAACTACCTTGTGGTATAGTTCATAAGCCAGCTCCCGGTCTGGGTTGATTTCTCATAGTAGTTCACACTGGTTGGTGTTGCGCTCCTCCGGCTGACTGCTGCTGACTGACCGTGACAGGTCTCTTCCCTGGCCTCCTGTTGACTGCTATTGTACTTCCCTGTGTGACCCCTTTTATGGCGTTTTTATGGCTTAACAGGCTCGAAAAACGACGTGAGTATAATTAGGAGGGAAGCATTTTTATTGGTCGAAAAATAGAAACACTTTAAAATATTATTTAATTTTTCGACCGGAACTCGTACGTCGTGCTTATGCGTAGACGACAATAATGGTCATTTTGTGACGGGGCCTTGTCTCGTTCACATCCGGCTCTCGCTCTAAAGTATGTTAGTTTATTTGCCTGCAAATCAGCCGAGATATGTCTTATTTTATTTTATAACAACAATAGTAAGAAATTAACTGGATGAAGACGCCATTGTCACTACTTTCTTACCATTATATGGTAGGTATTTCTACTACAACATTTACTTTGCTTATCTTTTTGAAGGCATCTTTTGTTATCCTCAAGCAGCTTCAGAAGTCATTGTCTCATTCTCCATCTGCGTTTAAAACATTCTCAGATATTTAATTTTTTGTACTTGTTTGGTTTTGGTATCTCCAATTTGTAATTTTCATGTTTGACTTTTGTTAACAACCATGCATTCCAACATCTTTCAATTTTTAGTTTTTTCTTCTCTCTTTCCTTCACTACGTTCTGTAGCAGTCCCTGTAATTTGCTTTCTGGATCTGCTATCAACACTGTATCGTCTGCATATCTTACATTGTTAAAATTTTGGCCACTAATAATAAATACTGGTAGGACTTCTAATTCCCTCAGAATTTCCTTACTCTATAGCTTGAATAAATCTGGTGAAAAGACACATTCTTGTCTTACAACACTTTCTATTTTTGTATATTTACTGAATTCATTTTCAGTATGCATGTGGTTTATTGCCAGTATAGGCTCTGGATTATTGTAATATCCTTTCCAAATATGTCAAGGTTAACTAGCAATTCCAATATTTCTTTGTGATATACTGTATTGAATGCCTTTGTATAATCTATAAAACAGATACACAACCTCCTGTATTTATATTGCTCTTTGTGATATTTTGGAGGACTTATGTTGGGTCTTATAGTTGAAAGAATAAATTTGGGCTGTGTGTGCAAAGACATGTATCCTGAACATATTAATATTATACTTCAATAAAAATAAACAGAAAAGCACAGAACAATACTGAGAAAAGACAAAGGCATTTATACTGAATAACAATCAATTTTCATTTATATTGTATGAAGATTACAATCATATGTAATAAGCCTAGATTTTTTTATTGAAATCTTGTATTGTTTGTTAGCCTGATTAATTCTAAACTCTCTCTCATATATATATATATATATATATATTTTGTCATAAAAGTTTCACAAAGTCGGATGTACTAATAAACAGATAAGAAAATTAAACCATTTCTGGCAAATAATAAATTCACATTAAATTTGTCAATTTATTTTGAATAAAGTTGTTTTCCTTTGACTGCTCTTGATGAGAATTGAAGTTGGAATGTTTATGAAAGTTCAAATGATGATTTCATTATCAAAAAGATTTTTGCTTTGTTTGAATGAAATTGCAATGTTTATTCACTAGACGAAATAATTACAAACTGCTGGGTGAATGGATTGATGAGTGAGTGAAATTTCTGGAAGTTTGTTACATGTTGGCAAGTAACATTGGAAACTTCAGATGAAGTGAGATATGCTCGTGTAGCAAATAGTTTGAAGTCACAATGCTCACTGGCAAAGTAAGTTAGTGTTCTGTATTTATTAACTTGGGTAGGCTCCAGAGAAATTAGCACTTGAAATTTTAACTTGATCACGTGATGAAAAAAAAACTTTAGTGTGGGTGGATAGCAATGCCCACCTGTATGTTTGTTGACCAATTAGAACTTGAATATTAAAAAAAAATGTGTGAAATTGGATATGTTCAAAACATTGCTGTAATCCACGTTTTGCACAGAAATTGAACAAGTTATTTTTAGTAATTTGTAAAGATGTAGAATTAGGATTTTACAATATAATTGTAATCATAAATATGCATTCTTTGTTCCAGTTTCTTTAACAAACTCACACGTGTCCTATTTCTGATTTAATTCTACTACACACTCTGTTCATCAGAATTCAGATAAGTTTTCTTATATGGCTCCATTAGGCCAATTGTCCAATGGAGTTAGATTAATTTGGACCTAGCTTTTTAGGCAGTGATATAAAAATAGATTTTTCTATATCCTCTGATATTTTACTGCTGCTGTATATCAATTAAAGTTACACCACTACTAACCATGGGCATATCATACCTGATTATGAAAATATCAAAAAAAATATTAAATATAAAACTTTATTTGAAATATTTTACATGCAGGCACTTCAAACTTTGAACTTTGAGTTAACATTAATAGGAACTGAAAAACATATTTAGATAAGAATATCAGGTACTGAAATTGTAATTAAAAATAGGAAAATTTGTGCTGGGTACTATATACCCATGGTTAGTGTCTGTAATCTTATCAATGACAAAATCATCTCAGGCTGCCAGCATTTCTGTGACAATTCCATCTGGTTATGCTGATTCATTTCTTTGCTAAGGACTACCCACTTTTATTTGAAGATTAAAAGCATCTATAGAAAAACACTGATATTTTAATTTCATATAACTGAGTTTCATTTTGGTAACTGAAGTTTTGAAAACAAATTGTTATGTATGCCATTTCTGAAGATGATACATAAAATTAATATAATAAAACCTTGTGTGGTCATTAAATTGTTTCAATGTTTTAGATATTCAGTAAATTTCCTATGGCCAGAATGACCTTCAAACAGTATGGCATTGTTCACAAATCTAATAATCAAACAAAAACCAGGATGAAGCATCAGAGCTTGATTGAAGTGCAAACACATGGTTGCTCACATCCTTCTTCACATGTTTACTGTAAAGCTGGGGTTAATAAGAGGTTCTTCTGGAAGTTTTCCCTTTTAACATTTCAATAATCCTTCTTAGGTCTTATTAACATAATTTTATTTTAGTTTGAATGTTTTCTTTTGTGTTTATTTCATTATTGGGTTCATTCCCTTCATTTCATGATACATTTTTATCAGAAAACTTTGCGAAAAATAGAGAAAAAAATATAATTGTATGTTGTCAAATTTTTTATATCATGGGACTTTAGTAGTGTCGCAAAATTCGGTCCAAACAATAGGAAGGGAACGGGTTGGTCTCGTAAAATTAGGTCCAAACAATAGGACGGGAACGGGTTGGCCCGGCACCGCCTACTTCCGGAAACACTCCTCAGCTTAACGACAGCTACAGTCCAGCTACAACAACTCCACAGATCTTTGCATTCAAATGTTCCAACACCGCCTCGTGGTTCGCTACACACAACTCTCTCGAGTGGTCTCCCGCCGTCACATTTATCCCAGCGAACACCAACCAATTTGCATACGCCCAAGTTCTCCTCTCGCCAATCCTCGCGGTTACGAGATCGCGTTTCCATAAGTCCAACTCACCGTAATGGTGGTGTTTCTTTCTTCGGACCAATTACTGCCCTACACGCCAGACACAAACGAACCCTCTTATGCCGAGAACCGAGGTTAGTCTCATTTTCATGTCCACACTCCCCCCTGGTCTCAAGATCACACATGTGGCATTGCGGACGCGGTCGTTTGTTGCGGGCACTCCCACGAGGGGGATTGTCTGGACTTCTTCATCGGGACTCTCAGAAGGGGCGTCAGAACTATCAGCATCAGCATCGGGTCCGCAGTCAAACCATCAGGCCCGAGGTGCATAGGTCGGATCCACAGTTCATCGCTGGATGATTCACCACTGCTGCTACTAGTCAACTGGTTCGTATTTAGGGCGGGCGGACATCCTTCACATGGCGTGGAGTACCATCGACCAGCACTGCTTGCTCATTGACGATGCCGGTGATTCGTTTTCTTTGAAAGCTGGTGGTGCACCGGCTATTGGGAGGCTTCACCCAGACGGTGTCCCCTAACTTATACGGCCCTCGTGTTTCCCGCCGATCAGGCAGACACGTGTCAATGCCCTTGTTGCGCACTTGGTAGCGATGGATTGCATTGGCGGGTGCGCTTGCAGCAGTCACGGCATCCTTTGGTGTTGCATTATATCTATAGACCGCCTCCGCTATCGTGCACTGCTTCCTGGCCACGATCCTCTTCACGCTTCGGTGGCACCGCTCTGCTATGCCGTTGCCACTCGGCACATATGCACATCGGTGTCTGAGCCGGATCCCCACTCGTCGTCTTTAAACGCCTAAACTCCCCGCTGCAGAAGGCCGTGTCGTTATCCGTAAGGATCTCTTCAGGCGCCCCCCTTTCATAAAAATATGGACTCCAATTCTCGGATGACACTGGACGAGTCCTGTCTTACTAATGGGCGCCAGATTGCGAACCTCGTCGGTCCACAATCTATCAGTGTGAGGAAATGCTGGCTGCCGTAATGGGTTATGTCCATACCCAGTCGGCCCCAAGTCGTGTCTACCCCCAGCCGACCCTTCCGCCATTTAGCTGGGGCAGGGTCGATTGACTGGCATATTTGGCATTCCTTCACCACCGCTCTGACTTCACTTTTGGACACTGATGGATTGGTCAACTGTACAAAATAGCATGTCCGTCTCACTCCGGGGTGCCCACTGTTGTGGTGTATCTCCTTGATTTTGTCTGCCGCCTTAACAGAGGCAGCACATAGTAACGGTACTGGCTCAGTTTCTTTCTTCATGGCGCCATACCATCTCTGTGGCACACGAGTGAGCCTATCAGCAAGGTTGCAGTTTGAGGTGACAAGCACCGCATCCATAGATAGGTTGTACTCTGTTACCAGCTTTCTTATGGTCTCCAACCTCCGTCTGATCAGCATCTCACTAGCCGCCTTGGTACGCACCCTGGCCTTGCCTGTCAGTGTGTCCGATATCCAGTGGTACACACATAACGAATCAGTGTGTATGTGTAATTTCTTAACTTTCCACTGGAGTGCCAGGTTGATGCCTTTATCACCGCATCGAGCTCTGCCAGGTTGATATGAGCAGCGTCATTCACCGGTCGCAACCAGCAGGCGTCCTCAATCGCAGCCCCATTCTTCTCCAACAGCACACCAATCGCCAGAGAGCTCGCATCCACCCACACGTTCAGTTCGTCTCCCTGCACGCACCAGTCTCCTTTTGGCGGGGTCATCCTGCTTTACTCTTGCGATGGTCTCCTTCACCATGCGAACCAACAGATCGTCCGTTGTTTCATTGTCCCAGCCTTTGGTGACTGCGCTTGCCCTTCTTTTTATGGTGCCTGTTGCCACACGAGTCCATCCACACACTGGTAGATGCCCCACAAGTCTTCCACACAGGGAGAATATAGCTCACCTCGTGAAGACATCCGGTACTTCAGGAACTGCAGTTCCGCGCCCCCATTTTAAGGTCTCTCGCTCCTGTTGAACGTTCAGGCCCAAGACACGGGCACCATCCTCCAAACGTTCTGGGTCCTTATAAGTCAGACCAAACTCAGCCAGTTTGGACCTCACGTGATGACGACACAACGTCTTCGTTCATATATATCATCAAGGTACGCCGATGTCCCCTCTTTATTGTTTCTTCCTGTGACAACACAGCGTTGACGATGGTCTTCATTATTTGGGGTGCCACGTTCAGCCCGAAGCCCAGCCTAGTAAGGCAGTACCTCCTGCCGGCAAACACCACCGTCTGAAACGGCCACATCGCCTCGCTGACCCGGACCTGCAGGTACGCTTTTCTTAGATCCAGCAGGGACACATTGGAACCCTGCTGGCGCCATTCTCGTAGCTTGCTGGCACAAACGTCAGCATCTGCCGTGAACGCATCAACATGCGCGTTTAGTTCGCGGTATTCCATCACTGGCCTCACCTTTGCTTTGTTGTGCTGAGCAACCGCCATCAGCGGGATCAGGCCTTTGGGAGGTCCAAGTTTCTCATAGGGGTAAGGAATCAACCAGCCATCCTTGATCCATTCACGGAGCTCCCCTTCGTATGCAGGCCTTATTTGATCGGGCACATGGTACTCGGCTACCTCGTTCCGCAGTTTTGCTGGTTCCTGGTTTTCCGACCACCTCCATGAGGTGGTCCAAGTCTTCTGCTGCTGGTCAAATTCGACACTAAAGTCCGGCTGGTCGATCCTCAGAGCTGCGCACACTGGGGCCCTCTCCTGAAACTGTACTGCCCTCGTCTGCGTTATGTGAACACCACCTAAAGCTCTGATGGCATCATAGCCTAGAAGCAGGTCAAAACTCAGTGGTTTTTCGAACACTACTAGCGCCTCGATGTTGGCCGAGTTTCCAGTTCTTGTACGGATGTTCACCACGCCTACCCCGCAACACCTTCGTGTTTCTCCACTGATGGTGGTCACCCTGACACTCTTCTTCTTCTGCGCGGTAGAGGTCCGCGCACACTATGGTGCGGGAGCAACCGGAATCGAGAAGTGCTGAGCACAATGTCTCATTAATGTAGACCTGGATGATCGGAAGCGCCTCATCTAATTTCTGCTTGGGGAAGAGGTCGACGCTGGCACCTTGTCCCTGGCCCTGTTTCCGCACAATCCCGGACCATATGTCCAGTCTCATTACACCGGTAGCAGCTTAACAGCTGTCAGTCGCCTCCTGCAGTTCCTCGCAATGTGGCCCTGGCCACCGCACCTATAACATACAACCCCACCACGGGGCTGGGCCCCTGATACGGTCTATCATCACTCGGCGTGGACTGTGCAGCGGCGATCACCGATTCTCTCACCTCAGAGCTGTCTTCATCACGGTCCTGGCCCGGTCTACCAGGTCATTAAGGGACAACGAGTCTATGCTTAAGCTCACTCGCAGGAGTTGCTTTGTCGGTTGGGAGCCCTGCCAGAAATTTGTATGCCAAGGCCCACTCGGGCAGTCCACCAACAACACCGGCCAACTTCGTCAGCTCGGCCAGATACACGTCGACAGTTTCGCCTGGAAGTAAAGTTCTTGCCTCGAATTGTTCCCATGCAGTGGCGGGGTCGATAGCAAATGCCTTGTATAGTGCTGCCTTGATTCTCTTATAATCCTGTTTTTCCTCAGCACTGAGCTGTTGATACACAGCTTAAAGCCCCGCCAGACAGCCGCAGAGGAATCACATGTTCAGTGCTCTTTATGCCAGACAAGAGGCAATGCAATTCCACTTTTTCCACCCAGTCAAGTACCGGGTTGGAGCCATCGCATCCGGAATCAATTTCAGGTCGAATCTGTCCCCATTACGCTGAAATAGCTTGTCGCAAAATTCAGTCCAAACAATAGGAAGGGAACGGGTTGGTCTCGTAAAATTAGGTCCAAACAATAGGACGGAACGGTTGGCCCGGCACCGCCTACTTCTGGAAACACTCCTCAGCTTAACGACAGCTACAATCCAGCTACAACAACTCCACAGATCTTTGCACTCAAATGTTCCAACACCGCCTCGTGGTTCGCTACACACAACTCTCTCGAGTGGTCTCCCGCCGTCACATTTATCCCAGCGAACACCAACCAATTTGCATACGCCCAAGTTCTCCTCTCGCCAATCCTCGCGGCTACGAGATCGCGTTTCCATAAGTCCGACTCACCGTAATGGTGGTGTTTCTTTCTTCGGACCAATTACTGCCCTACACACCAGACACAAACGAACCCTCTTATGCCGAGAACTGAGGTTAGTCTCATTTTCATGTCCACAAGTAGGTTTCTTGTGAATATGAGGTATTTTAGTAAATATTGGATTGGGTGTAGAAGGATAGGTTCTTGTGGTGACTGAGTCAATTGTCAAGAGAAGGAGTCATGAATTAGATTATCTAGAGGGTGGATAGTTAGTGAAGACCAGCCTTCCCCCCACTTCTTCTTTTAGCCTTGTTAACAATGTATATGATTGCAACTAAAAAAATCCCAAAACAGAAATTGGATTTTTATACAATGGTGGACTAAAAAATTATTTTTATCTGGGGTGGACAGGTCTTACTGATATAATTTTATTTCAATTTGAATGTTTCATTTATTTTTATTTTTTTATTAGTTTATCCTATCATTTTATATTTTCATATATTTGTGTGAAAAAGACAATTTGTATATACTATAGAATTTTTATGCCATGTGGGTTTTTAGTAGGATTCTTGTGAATATGTGATATTGCCATATATATTGGATCAAATGGAGATTGATAGGTTTTTTTTTTTGTGGTTATTGAGCCAACTGTCAGCCAGTGGGTCATGAATCAGATTAGCTAGGTGTAGGATAAACAGTGAGACCAGCCTCTCTCCCATTTCCCCTTTGTTCTTGTGGTGTAAAATGTAATTTTATTTTACATTTAAATACAAATTCCTGTAGTGATTGAAACAAACACTCCCAAACAGAAATTGGATGTTGTGCTGAAAAAGTTCTCTTAACCCAAGTTTCAAAATCTTGACAACTAAACAAACTAAATAGACGACCTTATTAATCCCTTCTTATTCAATTGAATAACTTTTCAAAACCTCCTCTAAAGAGATTTAAAACCTAGCTTATTTTTATTAAGGTAGATGATGCTGTGCAAACAGAACCTCTGTGAGAGCACTGAATTCAATCCTTGTCTGAAATAGAACTGTTGTGATGCCATCAAAGACAGATTGTTCCATACCTTCATTTTCTAAATAGTAAACTGCCAACTGAGAATTGAGCTGATGAGTCTTGATTTGCCTGATGAAATAGCCAAAACCATAACAGGATTTTGCACAGGAAAGATCAGAATAGGGAAAAATGCAGGAAAAATCATGGATAATCATGTTGTCTTATTTTCATGAAAAAATAGTTTCTTTTTATACTCGTCTTAATTACAAAATTTATTTCCTTATACAAGAGAAAAATACTAGTACCCTGTGTGGGAATCGAACATGCATGTATGTTTGCTTGAGTATCTTGTTAGTTACTATATATCTCAGGCCATCTTGTTTTTCTAGATGGAAAATAATGTGGGCAAAATAATTAGCTATATCTGGCACAAAGCTAGTTTTCAGGCATTAGTAATGATCAAATACATTTGGAAGATCTTACTAGATAGTCATATCAGTCATCACCTGAGCCCAGAGGATCCATTTTTATAAATAAAGAAAATGTATGGCATGTTTTCCTGTTCCACTTCTAATTGTTCAAATTGTGAATGCGGTCTTACAAAATCTGACTTGCTCTCGTGTGGACAGTTTAAATACTGATGAAAGGAATGCATTAACAATGCCATCAAGTATTCGTTTCCTCTATCTCGGTGGCTTCATATGGAATTATTTTTGTTATCTTCTTCCAAGTATGATTTAAGATCGTCATTCAAGGGACCTCTGATTTGCAGCAGTTCATGTTGCATTTCTGAAACCTTGCCATTTTATTCAGCTTTTCCAGAAAGAAGTAGGCATTCATTCTTTCATGATATCACTTATATTTCATTTCATTCTTTTGTTGGATTTTTTTCTTTGGGGTTTCATTGTTAGAACAGACGTCTTGAGGAAGCATGTCAGTTTTAACCAAGGTCTAAAGAAAATGTTGACAAATCACCACAGATGACTTGATTGATAAATATCAGTTCATTTTTCTGCCAACAATTTCTACAGTTTCAGATTTTCAGAGGGCTGTTGTATCAATTGTACTTTGTTATCATATTTAGCTCTTCATTATTCAGCTAGGAAAAGAAAGCTTTTCCTCCGCATGTGTGTGCTACTGAATAATTTTTTTTTTCTTTTGTTAGACTGGTCCTTTTTTAATTGCTCTAGTAAGCTTATTTTTTTTTTAAATAAGGGCGAGATGGATTTGAAACAGCTGCAAAGATGGACATATCAGAAAAGTGATAAATATTCAACCACTGCATTATTAATTTCTATTATTTTTTTATCATGTGTAAATAGAATTTTTCTTCTCCTCAACAAGCCTCCTCCATTTTTTGTGTTCATTAATTCACACAATTTCTCTCCTGCTTACATTTTTCTTGTTACTTCTGAATATTCACTCTTTGAAATAATTACTTTGAGGGAATTGAAACTGACAAAGCTCAGACAATGAAACGTCAATAAACAAGGAAAGAAACATTGAGATAAAAATTAAAATAAATATAATTCGACAAATATAATTTATGAAAAGTTTTTTAATTTAGGCAATTTTTTTATTACATTAGGAAAAAAGTTATTTTTATTTAATCTTTGCAGTGTAAAAGGTTTGTCTTATTTCAACACCAAAATTGAGCAAAATATGTTCAGAAAATTATAACTTTAAAGATATATAGAAAGCTTTAGTATTGAATGTAATTATTTACTTTACAGCAAAAATACAGAATTGAATAATTATTTTCTTCTTTTATTGCAAGTTAAAATATCTAAATATAGAAATTACAAATAATTATTGAAATAATATACAATGTCAAACACTGAAAGAAAATATTGGTGAATCTGTTTGTGCATTTAGGTTTTCCTCTTTAATTTTGAATTTTTAAATATGAAGGATCATTGGAATAGTAAAAATCCCTTCCAAAAAATAAAGGAATTATTAAGAGACAGGAAAATTATCAGAAACAAAGAAAATAATGCTAGGTTATTATGTAATATTAATTCTCCTCTTTGTCATTGAATATGACAGTTTTCTCCCAAATGAAGAGAAAGCTTACAGCAAAAGAGATACCACTCTACAGCGTGATGCTGAGAATACTGTTAAATAGGATATGCAAGCCACAAGTGAGTTTTAAGGAAAATATAAGTTGTAGTAGGAATTAGAAAGGTACAGTTGAAAATCCAGCAACATATAATGAAGATAGTGCTTGTAGAATTTCACACACACTGGACAGATTGAAAGCAGAGGAAACAGCAAGTAAACTACCTAACTAGCTTTTTTAAATGACAGAGCAGGGTTTGGGCCAGGTAATAAGGAGACAATACCTGCTTAGAGCAGGCATGGACAACTTTTTTTTGAGTAGTGGGTCGCATGATCCATGGCTCATTATAAGGTGGGTCACACTAAGGGTCATTTTTTGTAGTTGATACCTCATCTATTTTCACTACAGAAAACCATATGCATAAACATATACATTAGAAATGATCAGAAAGTTTTATTTTTTAGAAAACATTTTATCATTATTAAAAATTGAAGTCTTGGTATAACATTACTACAATATTACCTGGTATAACATTACTACAGGCAGTGACATGTGTGACTAACACATATCACCGCCTGTGATTTATTTCTAATTTATTCATTTGAACATAGACAATATATATCTTCTTTAGCGAAAAAAAAATTATGAATCTGTTCTGTTTCAAGAGCAAAATTTGTTTACATGTATGATCTTCCTTAGTAAAAATCACTAATGGTTTAAAATGCTACTTTCCTCGAAGTTTTACCAAATTCAAGAATCATTGTACTTAATCATTGTTTATGTATGTGGTTATGTATGAAAGAGTGTGTGAGTGAACAAGTGAGAACGAAACAAAAAAATTTTATGAAATGTTATTTTTAATATAAAATTAAATGTACCATTCAGAAAGACCTAACATGCTGCATGTGGCCCATGAGTTACTTAAAGCCACAAAAGTTAGAACAATGCATTGAGTCATGATTACCCACATCCTGAAGGAAAATGGTATATCAAAGAAGTAGGACTTGATTTGATTGATGAAAACTATGCCTGTGCATTTCCACTTATATTTTTTGGTGTTTGAGCTTAGGTTAAAAACATGATTTCCAATACAGATTCTCAAGGTAGGTAACTTCATCCAACTTGAATAATTGGGAACACTATTTGTTTACTTCAGTTATCTTTGTGCTTTGTGTCCTAATCTAAACTATAAATAGATAATGTTAGTAAATGTCTTTAGTAAGATTAGATTGTATGGCTTTAAGAGAATCAGAATTCCAGAACAAAGGATAATCTGCCTGATGACATTACTAATCATAATTATTCCATACAAATGGACGAAAAGTCTGAAATGTTACTGAAAGTAAAAACAATAGATGCTCAATATTGAAAGTTTATTTTTCTCTTAATAACTATCCTAAGTACCAAAGTTGAAGTTTCCAGCAAGATTAAGTAAAGGCAGAAATCAATGAATAATATTCTGGAATTAGTTAAGAAAAAAGTGTCTAATATTCCATTATGGTAACTCTCAATTAAATATTTCTTGGATGACTCACAAAAAAAAATCTATTAAAACTTGGTTGTAAACTTTTTACTCATCTGCTGTATCCACCAGATATTCAAATATCATTTACTTCGGTCTTACAGAATTGTATATATGAAAAAAAAAAATGAATTCTCTGAAAGACTATAAATGGCGCCGGGAGCAGTACTTTGCTCAAAAAGATAAAAACTTCTGGGAAGATGAAATTACGAAGTTATCTGGAAGATGAAAAAAGATATTGGAACAAAATGGTAAATAGGTTGTTCAAGTTAATCTGGAAAATAAAAAAAAATGTCTTTTATTTTTATTTAATAAACTGAACGAAAGTGTTGGCCAACCCAATAAATAATTTTTTTAGCTTAGCACAAGGCCACAATAGTACACACAGTGAAGATGACTCATACTTATAGCGGCATGTGAAATTTACTGATGTAAACATCAATAAATAGCAGCGATTAAAATTGACTTAACCTGACACAAGGACATAATACTGAGTCAACTACCAATTATAAAGTTCACAAGCAATGCAATATGATATTATTCACCCCCACCTGCTGACATCTTGTCAGACACCAGTGATGAGTGACTTGTTAGTATTCTGTTGTCGTATACTATTGTGTGTTAACTGAATTCAGTCTGATTTCTCTTGTAATCCAGTCTCGTCTAAGAAATAATTACATTTTCTCTCTTTTCAAAACAATAATTTTTACAGCAGCATACAACTATTCATAGTAAAATCAAAAGAAGTCTCTCCTTGGTAGACTATACAAAGGTGTGTTTTCCCATCAAAAGCCATGATTTCTAATGCTGATTTTTCAAGGTATACAACCCAAGGCCACCTAGAAGTGCTACATGATCTTCCTAAAATTGCCTCTTTGAGCTTTAAAATTGAACAAAGCTTGGTAAATATTGATAATAAATACAAAGTTACATGTTTGTCAAGTATGACTTGAATTCCCTATTGTACACTGCAATACTAGGTTATTAAATAATTTGACAATTCCAGCCTTTATAATGAGGGAATGGCAATTAAAATTTTATAGTTTATGATTATCTTACATATATTGTGCCATTTTAAGGGGAATTAAAATGTTATGGCTTATATTTATTACATATCTGTTGTGCCATTTATAGTATCATAGCCCCTTCACTGCTCTGTTCACATGATCAAGGGAAAACATTATATACATGTTCTTGACCTGTTCTTCATTGCATTGCCCCATACACTTCAATTTACTATAGTAAGTCTATTTTAGATTTTTAATAAACCTAATTTCTTTTCAGATGTTTTAGTATTACATTTTGGGAAACTTTTTATACTTTTTAGCAACTCTGAATTTATTTTCTTTAAATATTAAGTATGTATGCAGGCCCAGTTAATGTTTATACTCTCTTATATAACTTAGCGACTTCTTGCCAAATGAGTGGAAGGATGATAATCGGAATTAAAATGTTCCAATAAATATAAAATCTATTAGTGTTTACAGCTAATAATATGATGATTAATTCAGATGCTAAATTTATTACTATCTCTGCTTCACACGCATGTTATTATAAGAGATCTAGAAGCCTGGGTACAATTTTAACGATGTAAGTTATGCAGATTACAGTGGCAGAAAGAAATTGCATGCTGTTAGAAAATGTAGTAAAGAAAAGTGATAAGTGAGGATTAAACATTAAATATAAGAAGACAAAATGTTGTCAGCAAGTGGAAGAGGCAAAGATGGGAGCTATGAATTGTAGACCTCAAAAATGAAGTAAGTACATAAATTTACCTGTCTGGGAAGTGTAATAACAGCCAACAGATAATATGACACAGAAATCCGAAGGTGTATTTGAATACTGAAAGATGTCTTTCAAATTCTAATCAATAAACAGGATATTTTCATTAGAAACAAAGAAATGAGTACTGAATTTTTTTTATGTTAGAAATTGTTAGATATTTCCTCACAGATGAAAGAGGCAATGGAGATGTAACTCAACAGAAGGATACTAAGAATAATATGGATGAGGCATAAAAGTTTAAGGAAAATGGAAACAGAAAGGTCATTTATACTTAGTATCAGAAAGAGAAAGTTAAAATTTCTAAGTTACAGAATAAAGGAGGAGAGAATGGAGAATTTGATTCATTTTTTACTTATTAACATTTTGCAGGCTATTTTTAAAATTGTAAGATTTTTTTTTCATTTGGAAGATAATAATGATTTAGTGATAATTACAAGTCTTAGTAATTAACCCATAGCTGGCTGGCTGGAAAAGAAGTGTACATAAGTGAATATAATAAATCCAACTAGAACTCAGCTCCCCAATTAAAAATTCTGAGCCATATAACATTACACCACCCACACATCTAAGCTTACAGCACCTGACATTCCCAAGTGGTCACCCATCAAGGTACTGACCAGGTATGACACTGATTAACTTCAGTGATCGTAAAGGAACCTGTTTTTCTATGTGATGTGGCCATAAGCTAGATAATTTGACTCTTGCAGGCCACGAGGAAACAGTGAATAATCTAACTAATGACAGCATTACTTAGAGCTGTGAAGTTGTGGAGAGCCACAATCACCTACGTTCTGAAGGGGAAAATACATGTAAGGAAGAGAAGAGGTGGGGTAATAGAAGCATTACTGCTAATTAATACCAGATTTTTATAAACCTCTAATACTTGATTTTTTATCAAGCAATAATTAATATCGGATTATTTTCGGAACTCATAATTAATATTGTATTTTTATTTTTATAATTAATATTGGAATTTACTGTCTGCATTTGTGAGTTAGACACAATTGGATGAAACTAACTTTTGTTTATTGATTATCGTATGTCACAAACTTATGGTTGATTTTTGTTATATCCAAATCTACGCTGTTTACATTTATTTATGAAAAGTAAATGGGCCATCAGTAGGAATGACTTCATAATCTGTCATCTACTGCAGCTGAAGAGGCCACGATTGGTAACGATCTTTGAGTCAGTGAATCCTAAACTCTGATGATGAGCGTGTGAGACTGTCAATATGCCAAAGTTTCTTATATCTTTTATGGATAGGTTTTATATTATACAAATACAACTTATATGTTCTACATTATGAAAGTATGGTGCATCAAACTCTTGTCCTGTGAACTCGAGACTTGTGTCTGACTGTTCCAAAGCAGCAAACAATTTTCAAGCTGATTGCCATACCTCAAGGCAAGCTTTCGAAGACACAGGAAGACATCCACTTCTGCCCCAACAAACCATGTATTATGCCCCATGTTTAATCATCTCAGTGTGGTTGATTTTGGTCTTAAAAGTTACATGCATGTCCACAGACGTTGATATCTTTCTCGGACTAAAAGAGACTACCACAATGAAATGTGATTGGATATGGATATTTTTATTTCAACTGGCAAGTGTGTGGTCTGTGAGAAAATTACTTTCCTGCTGTGATTGTGTTTTTGATTGTTTTTCTGAGAACTTTACTGCACAGATTCCTATCTAAAGTCAAGCTGGAAATTATACCCCTGCTAAATCTGAATGTTACAAATATTTTCAAGAACGAAATGCTTTTTGCTGACCTGTATCGTCAAAAAAAGGGAACGTAAAAGAAATAATACATTGTTTATAGGCCAACATGTACTGGAAAAAAAGCATTCCTTCAATGAAAATCTTTTTTTAAATTAAACACTTTTGCAGGTGGTCAAAATGGAAAATGAAATTTAGACAAGTCAAATTCAAAGTCTGCCCAAATTAGTAGAGTAAATATTATTTTAATTAAAAAAATGATAATATTAAAAATGTCCTAATCATTGTCATATTCACATTTCAGCTGTTGTATTCTCCAGCCTTCTTCAGGTGATATACTTTGGAATTTCAAACTGAATCCTTTATTTCATCCACTGAGGTAGATTATTCTAGCTCCACATGCCATGCCTTTTCTGGATATCTCTGAATCAGTTATTTTACTTTAGTTACTCAACTCTCCAAATATTTTTGTTTATCTCTGTTGTGGCCAGGTATTGAACTCACAACTCTTGATATTTTAGAGTTGTGCCTAAATGTAGAAGATGCTAATTCATGAAATAACATTTAATATCAATATGTGAGGCAATGCTTGACAAATCTCTTTTGCCCTTTAATTCACCTAAATTATATGACATTCTGTTTAAGAGGAGAAACCATTTGCTATCATTGATACCTTTTCATTAAACTCTGTGAAAATAAATCTTTTAATTCATTCCGCCTGAGTTGCAAGTAAATCTGACATTAGAGAATGCCTAATAAAACTATCCCATGAAAAAGGAATGGAATACAACTTGAACAGAAATGTATATGAATATCCAATAATTAGTCACTGATATAGACATGCGCATGTGTTGTAACAGATATTACAATGGAAAATAGAATTGGTGAGTAAAATTCAAATTCTGGACTAAGGTTTAAATACATCTCTTCTCTCTTCAGGTATGTATTAAATAGTAAAGTCAAAAGGACCCACTAACCTAGGGTAACAGCCAGTCCAGGTGAAGGAATACTCTGAATTCAAAAATATGGAGAAGGCTCTCAACTATCTTCCCCTAAATGTCATGTCTATTCATGGATAATAAACAATCAAATCTCCAGGGAACCATTATCACCTATGGCCATTTTTGGAATGCATAAAAAGGATTATTGGCAAGGAATGTTTAAATTCTGCCCTCAGTCACATTCACACCGCATCAATTTCCTATAGAAAGGCATGAATCCATCTCTTCTGTCCTACCCCCAACTATAGATGAACTAGCAGAGTTGTCCAGTCTATCTTGCCTTGTGTGGCAACAAATCTAACAGAAGGATGATTGTGAATTCAAAAACTGTTTAGAAGGCAACGAGAAACCATTTTGTTATATTTCTCAAGAACTGACAACAATTCCCAGATAAATAAAAGGAATATATGTGTAGAGCCATGGTTGTTTACTTTCCAAAGGCATTCATTCACTTACTAGAACAGTGCTTTATAAATGTTCTTGAATCATGGCACCCTCAGAGCATAGGGAATTTTCATGGTGGCTTAAGAGCAACTATATTTCTGTTTATGTGGTTAATTTTGTTATAAAATAAAATTTGGTTAAACAAAGACAAATAGAAAAAATGATGAAATATTTTACCAATGAAATTTGAGATTTTTAACTGCATCTGAACATTATTACATCTGAAAAAAATGGTTTTGAGAAGAAAAAAAGTTTTTTATAGAGGAACTGTAATTTGGTTCTAAAATAGAGAATGGTATTTTTCCAGGTGTTGTTACATAACAGTAGTTTAAAGTGTCTTTTTTTCAGAACTATTTTCACTGAGTCTCTGTTCATACACCCAGCAGCATCAAATGAAGTTCTCTGTTCTATTTTGTCTAAATGATTCACTAAATTCATTTTTATTGACGTTTTTCTAGACAATAATTTCCCTTCTTTTACATATTCAATGACATATATCTCCAAATAATACTTGTCCTTACCTTATTCTGCAGAGGTATTAAATTTTCCAGTGCATTGGACTATTCCTCCAGGACTTGTTAAGATGTGATTTACTGGACTTGAAGATTTTTCTCTTAAAATTTTGTAAATTTCGGATGAGATAACATTTAATTCAGCGTTTGTGTCAATAGCTTGCTGCTGTTTAACAAATTCTTAAATTTTTGTGCCACAGGTCATTTTAAATCTGTTTCTGTTAAATTGCTCTCATAGGAAATATTTCTTTTCTTCATTTACTGTCTTTATCGTATTGGTTTTAGTTCTGCAGACAACAGCTAAATGACTTATTTTCCTGAATTTTTTTACAAGGTTTCCTTTTCAATGTACAGCTTTTAAAATCATGCTTTTTGTTACATCTTCTGTGGCAGCTATTTCTTTTTTTTTTTTTTTTTTTTCTCACGGGTTTCTCTGGGTCTTTATTTCATCTACATTTTTTATTTGCTCACTATTCCTTTCTTGAGTTTCCAATCAAGAATTGTATTCTTTTGGATAAATCCTTATTCTGTAGTCCTATTCCAAGACAGTCTCTGTTTCTTTGGAAACTCACATACTTCTGCTAATTCGTGCAATGAGCAAATAAGTTTCCACCAGTTCTCCTGGTAATTGAACTCTAAGATAAAATTATGCCCTTTCATGGATTATATTTCTTTTAGGCATGAAGTAGACATTCCAAAACTGAATCATATACATTTGTATCATCTTGTCATAAGAAAGAAAATGTCTGGAATATATTTTTGAATTTGCTTCCCATACAATATATTAATGTACTTACTTGAGTTTTGCTATCTTCTACTCAGTTTCAATGTTTCTCAAAAGCTTTGAAATCTTTGCAACTATTTCTGCCAATTTGGTGCATTTGTAAAGTAAAATGCTTCTAATGTAGTTAGTTTGAACAATTTTTCTTTTTTTGTTTTTTTTGTTTAACAAGTGTTGCAATGGAATGTCTCACACTCCCTATCGATTATGTGGACTGACTGTATGAGTAGCTATATATAGTGAGCACAGGATATATCTGAGGATTTTCTTCAGCAATTAGTTGGAGATTCATATCCAGCTAAGCTAGTTGAACTCTCTGGCTTTGGGCAGACAAGAACCCAGACAAGGCTATGCCAAAGGACAGTCTCATCTGGGGTGGTAGACAGCTACTCGACCGCATGTATATGTGGTCTACAGGGAATTTTTTGCACAAGCCTATGGGCTTTGTTTTGACCCACATTAAAAACGACCTTGTGCCACATTCTATCTTGCGGGAAGGTAAGGTAAATATCCTTGCTTCAGGAATTGCTAGCCAGCCACCTGATTCCTTGTCTTTCAGTAGCTTATTCTCTTTTACATTAAACTTCTCTTCTTTCATCTACGTATGTATTGCTGTTCCTTCACTTGAGTACCATCTTTGTTTGCAACCTCTTTAAGGATACAACAAAACGTTTTTTTTTTTTGTTTTTTTTTTTGTTGAATTGGGTCCCGTACTTCTAGAAGATATTTTTCTTCTTTTAGAAAGAAAGAATCCCTCTGAAACACAATGTTCTACTGAGCTTAGGGTGAAAAAAGACTTGCCACTAAAAAGTCGAAGTAACATAGAGATGATACTAGACGTGGTAACTCAATGAGTTTATTATTCAAACGTTAGTGGGACTGTAAGTAATTACAATCATCATCATAATCATCCTTATTGCTTGAATAGCTAGCCCTATTTTTACACTGATAATCACCTCTAATGGTAATAGTAATAAAGTTTCCTTATGAGAAAACATCCAGGGACACTTTCAATTGAAATTAATAAAATTCGCCTATCAAAACAATAGCTCTTTTATTATTGATGCTGGCTTCCTTCCTAACCTTTATTAATCAAACCTTAGTGGGACTGTAAGTAATTAAAATCATCATCATAATCATCCTTATTGCCTGAATAGCCAGTTCTACATGATTTACACTGATACTCATTCACTAGTCATAGGACTGGGATCAAAGTGTAGTAT